TCCCACAAAGTCACGTGGTAAACCCCGAGTGCCAGAACCTACTTGTGGAATATTCCCCTCGGACGTTTGTTTCCCCAGACTTATCAGCGGCACCACGTCGTGTTTTAGCACTACCACCGCGCAGGGAGGGACCGCAGTGAGACATTGGACCGCTCCGCTGCCCGCCAAATAGTTTCATCTTAAGACGATAGCACACGATAAGTTCTCACCTTCGACAAGCGGTGAAATGATGATACCAGGCACACAAGCACACCTATTTTACCCTACATATGTAGTATATATATATATATATATATATATATATATATATATATATATATATATATATATATATATATATATATATATATATATATATATATACTTTTCACATACATATGAAGTGACTACACACGCACATATATACATACATACACATGTGTGTTTATGTGTGTAGGCTACTGTTTCAAAACTCATATTTCTGCCCCATAATATCATAGTATCAATTCACCAGTTTGACCTCCGACCTTAAGCCTAACTAAATAAAGACACCCTCGACCCAGCAGTTAACTTTGACAGTAAACCTAACACTTGAAAATATCGATTCACTTTACGGGTAATCTTGACATAGACAGGGGGCATCTGGTGACTCTCAAACACAAAGTCACGTGGTAAACCCCGAGTGCCAGAACCTACTTGTGGAATATTCCCCTCGGACGTTTGTTTCCCCAGACTTATCAGCGGCACCACGTCGTGTTTTAGCACTACCACCGCGCAGGGAGGGACCGCAGTGAGACATTGGACCGCTCCGCTGCCCGCCAAATAGTTTCATCTTAAGACGATAGCACACGATAAGTTCTCACCTTCGACAAGCGGTGAAATGATGATACCAGGCACACAAGCACACCTATTTTACCCTACATATGTAGTATATATATATATATATATATATATATATATATATATATATATATATATATATATATATATATATATATATATATATATATATATATATATATACTTTTCACATACATATGAAGTGACTACACACGCACATATATACATACATACACATGTGTGTTTATGTGTGTAGGCTACTGTTTCAAAACTCATATTTCTGCCCCATAATATCATAGTATCAATTCACCAGTTTGACCTCCGACCTTAAGCCTAACTAAATAAAGACACCCTCGACCCAGCAGTTAACTTTGACAGTAAACCTAACACTTGAAAATATCGATTCACTTTACGGGTAATCTTGACATAGACAGGGGGCATCTGGTGACTCTCAAACACAAAATCTACACCAAGTAGTGGCAAGTAGACCTACGCTGTACACTACAGCGGCCTATACAACCCACTTGAGCTGGTCATGTCTCCGAACACACCACAATAGCAATGTGTCATCAGGAAACATCATGTCGTAGACACAAACTTTTCTATTGTTTTTTTTTTTTTTTAAATGGGGGCACGCGTTGTGTGATAGCGACGCAGTAGACCAGTAGCACACACAGACGGATTCATGACGAAATGCTAATGGGACCCCGTGACGTCATCACGGCTTGTGTCGAGCGTAAATAAAGAATAATCCTGCAACGTTAAGAGAGAGGGATGGAGGGGTGGGGGAGGAGGGGAGAACTTGACATACGATTTACATATCCCATTTACATTATCTGTTTTTTTTTTGTTGAAACATTTCGTTTTTTTTTTTTAAACACGAAAAGTAACTAAATATTATACGAAAGCTAGGAAAGAACTAGACTTTACTAGACTAGACCTCTAAATGGGGACCACTACACTGGTCCAGAACTACAGTAAAACTAGTATCGAAAACACTTGTGTAGCCCCCAAACTGAATGTAAAGTTTAAGTATCGCTATTGTCGATTGACACTCAACCACGATATGAAACGTAAAAGAAACCTAAAACCGACTTTCCAAAAAATTCTTTCAACTAAATGTTTTAGGCAAGGATGAGTGCCGATAAAAAAAAAATAAACTGAGTACGGTCCGGGCCAAGCCAAGGGGGGAAACACGCATATCCATCACCACATTCCTGTCGCGTTCTGCTAGCCATGGCCTAGTTCTGCCCGGCCTGTATCGTCTGGTAACGTCACGGCCACCGCTCGAGCGGACTCGGGTATCAGTTGGGAGGGGAGGGGGGGGGGATTCGATTGTCATTTGTGAGCTATGGGGGTAATAAAATCGCGTGAAAAGTAAATCGATTTGTAAATTAAAATCTGTTAAAATGAAATGGTAGTATGAAGTATAAAGGGGATAAGGAGACAATGTATTAAAGCTCCCATGTTAAAAAACCCATTATAATGTGAGTAATGCGATTCAAAGCTTTGAATTGGTTAGCAATGGCATAGCTCTGAATTCAATTTAAAGCGCAATATGTCAAATTTTACTAATCAATAGAACTGAACTGGTTTTGCAACATGGAAGATGAGAAAAAAAGAAGAACGGGGACATATGAACTAAGTTTTTTTTTTAAACAGCTTTAGAAAATGAGACCAAATATTTGTCCAAGTGTAAACGGTGGGGATGTATCTTCCAAAAGGTAATAATAACCTGAGGTTTTCTGGGGCGGCTGGTGGGGCATGTTTACACATGTACCGGCAACATTTTAACACTCTGGTGCGTGCCGAGTGGGAAGTGAGGGGGTATAGACGTGAGACAGGCCAGAGTATGTCTGGTGGGGGGGGGGGGGTGAGAGACGGGTCAGATTATGTCTGGGGGAGAGGGGGTATAGACGTGACAGGCCGGAGTATGTCTGGTGGGTAGGGGAAGTGCGAGTCTGTCTTGGGGGAGGGGGTGCGAGACGGGTCAGATTATGTCTGGGGGGAGGGGGTGTACAAGTCATACGGACCAGAGTGTCAGACAAGGGGTCAGGCGGATGGGGGTGGGGAGCTTGTTGACCATCATGATGGCCCGCGGCCAACAAGAGGTGCTCAATGCGAGTAAGAGAGAGCGAAATAAACAGCAAAGGCGTAGGGGAAGAGGTGGTGGCTAAATTGAGACGATTCACGGATTAATGGCTGTTTTTTTTCTCTTCGCCTTTAAACAAAGCAGGGGGAGAGAACGAGGAGACGGGGCTGGCAGGGAGGGGTAGGAAGTGTTGACAGTCAGTGTGTGAAGTTTTTTTCCCCCTTCGTCTTCGTGTAAGTCCGTGTTGACACTTGAGCTACGGGGACAGCACAATGGCTGGGGGCACACATAATGGGAGACCACTGCACCCACTTGAGCCAAAGTATTAACTGATGAAAAAAAATGGGGAGGAATAGAGGGGGGGGGGGGGGTAGCACAACAATGAGCACACTCACGAACTGTGCCATAACAACCCTGATGCCAACAGTGAGTTGTTTTTTTTAACTACCACACCAACCAAAACAACAATAAAAAATATGCCTTGCAGTGAGGTTTTTAAACTACCACACCAACCAAAACAACAATATGCCTCGCCACATCGGAGCCTGTGTTCTGTTTTATAACAACACATTAATCAATTATTTCTAAATTACAACACAGCTTATCTTCTCATTGTGTGACACAATGGTGAAACACAAGTACAAACGTCATAGCTGGTACAATGGGGTTGGGGTATATTGTACAATAGGACTTTATTTCTACCATAGCTTTAACTAAATATAAATAATCTTGGCACTTTCCCTATTTGTAAATTACTATCACTTTGATGAGTAACAGATTTGATGAGTAAGAGATAAAGTTCTGATCTGATTAAGACAATTCTGGGCTAAATTTTCTGATGTGTAACCAATAAGGCTGGATATAAACAACCAGTGTATAAACCTTGAAAAAACAAAGTCTTAATATTTTATGTTAATTAGGTTATGGTGATTAATTAACATATTAACAGTTGCACTGCAGCTAACATACATGTGCAGTGTAAACTGATCTCTGATTGGTTGATTCAAATCTTGGACAATCTTTCTAACAATGAGGATGTTAATCCTAAGTATAACACAACTGCGTCAAATAACTGTACAAACAATAAGAGTTTTGAGTAGATCTAAAACTATAAACTGAGAAAAAAAAAAAAACCAAAATGTTTTCCATCTATTTTGCATATCTGGTTCAAGCTAACACATTTAAGAAATCAATTTATACTAATCATGTAGTACAAATGTAATAATAAAAGTGATGGTAATTTAATTTAGATATGATTGTTAAGGAATAAATATTATCTTATGACATAATCCTGAAAAACTATAAGAATGAAATTAACAATAGGTGGTTAACTTCTTTATTACTGTTTGTATAAAGTATAAAACTATTTGTTAGCTCTATAGATCTGCAACATAATATCAGAGTAGTGAGTAGTACACAGAGATGTCATATTTACAGAATCAACCAAAATCTTAAATGAATATAAAAAATCATATCATTCAGGGTAGAAACAACAGAGTTTCTCATTGAGAGTCCTTGATCATACCCTACCTAATTAAAGAAAACTAAGTTAACAACAATGAAACTGCACTTTACAGTGAGTGAAGAGAAACTGGTTTTAAAAAAAAAGATGTCAAAATCAACAACGGGTTACAATACAAACAATGCTTGTTACCGTTAAATGGAAGCAGTAAAATAAATAGCTAAGCCCCTTTATGCAAACAAGTTGGAAGGTGACAAGGCAGAGTTGAGGAGTTGAATGTAGTGTAGTCAAAGATTTGATCTCAAAGAAATAATGGGACAGAAGTGCTTAAAGTAAATTCACCACCTTGGCTTCAAGCAAATAAAATGGGTGACAGGATAACTGGTCAAATCTTTTAAAAAGGATATTTTAGTCAAAGTAATTACAGACACTTTCTTTTAATAAGAATTTCATTGAAACAAAATTAAACCATATTATAACTATATTAAGGCGTCATTTTGCCTTCTTAATAAGGACTTTTAAACATAAGTCTAGTTTTAAAATGTATCAACAAAGTAAAAAAAAGTAAATTAATAAAGGAAAAAGAACAATGTTATTAAAATAAATAATAAAAACTAAGTTTCTTACCTTTACTAGAATGAGTGAAAACAAATTTTAAAATCCTAAAAACTTCAAAGAATGATACAGCATCCTTTATTATCCCGAAGTGGGGTAGAGTTCATTTCACGCACTATTTCAATAAAAACCTCGTTAACATTGTTTGTGCTTTTCGCCGAGGTTTCTAAGAATGGGCAACCCCAATGCTGGGCCAAAGATATTCCTTCAGATGATGACACTTCTCTCTGGCTGTCCAAATCTGATTTGTTCCCCACAAGAATCATGGGTATCCTATCTATTCCTTTGACTCTCTGTATCTGGTCTCTCATTGTCTTGATATCCTGGAACGTTTGTATACTAGTTATGCTGTAGACTATAACAAAACCCTGACCGTTTTTTATATAAAGGTCCCTCATTGAAGCAAACTGCTCAGTTCCAGCAGTGTCAAGAATCTCAAGCACAGATGGTGCTGAGTCAACCTCAATTTCTTTTCTATAGAAATCCTCAATAGTTGGGTCATATTTTTCCATGAACGTTCCAGACACAAATTTTACAGTAAGGGCACTCTTACCTACACCTCCACTGCCAAGAACAACAACTTTATACTCTTTCATTTTCAATGGAAGTTGATAAAATTAGTAAAAATCCAAATGATGTGCTGCCGTATAAATTTTTTTTGCTCTAGTTTATTAATTGTTGATATGGAGAGAAGCTTGGGTCCTACTCTTTTAAGTTATGAGAAATCCTGTGTCACATAGTGAACAACTTATACCTGTCAAAATGAAAATATGTCTTTAATATTCAATATTAAGCTTATCCAATGTAGCTTACTTACTTAAACTAATTTAAGACTAAGACCTAGATAACCCTTATAAAAGACTAGACAGACTATTATTAGCCTAATTATAGGTAATTATTAATATAATTCAGGTTACATAAATTAATTCATGCCACAAGACTAAGCAAAGTCAAATTCACTTTGCAGTCCTTAAGGATATAAAATAGGCCTATATTTTAAATAAAAAATTAGGCCTAGACTTGACTCTTTCTAGTGTCTAGATAGATTAGATCATACATCTTGAAGCTAATCTAAATCTAGATAGCTAGAGTTTTTTTTCAAGGCACCAGGACCTACACTTTTCAATTTTATTAGTGTAATTCGTAGGTAGGTAGATCTAGAATTCTAGATCTAGATAAAAATTAAGATTGGTAGGCCGGCCCTGAATTTTTTAGTCTAGCTGACACAGAAAGAAAATTATAAAACAGAAAACAGCTAGATCTAGAATGTAGAAGTAGAGCTGCTATAAGTTATTTAAATTATTTAACTTATTTATTAAGTAGACTAATCACCCTCACTGTGACTAATCACTAATCCCTCATTCACTACTCAAGTACTCAGTGATCTAGAATCTATATTATTCTATATCCACTCATTCAGATAATAGGCCTAGGGCTTATGACTTACCAAAACAAAACTTTAAAAAAAAACCTACTTTGTCTAGATCTAGATCTAGAAATCTAGAGCTAGTCTAGATCTAGATTTCTAGATCTTGATTCTACTCTCAACTCAGTCAACTGAAACTCATCATTGTGATGAGTGAGGAGAAAAGTCGGCGTAAGTATAAGTAATGTTAGACAACTTAAGTACTTAAGACTTAAACTTTTATAAAAAGTTTCAGAAGTTCACAAACTTACAAATCATAACGAATGTAAAGAAAGAAAATCATTAAAAATAGTTTACCTTAATGATTTCTAGATGGTGTGCTCTGAGGCACAAATGTGAATGAATACAGACCAATTTTGTACCAGCCTAATGTTTTAGTAGATGAGGCTTTTCGCCATTTTGGGTGGGCTGAAGTAAGCGGTGAGGAGGCTATTTGTAACCCTTGAAAAGCTAAATGGTTTTATAGACCTAGCATTTTAACAATCAATCGGTGGGGTTCTAACTATGCTATGGTTAACTGGAAATAATTGTTGCTATGCAGCTAAAATAAAACGAAGATCTTAAAGAAATCGAAAAATAGTACTACGAAATTAAAAAAAAGAGGTGTTATGCGCATAAAAGCTGTAAAACGAGAGGGGGATGGCTGGGTGGCTAATCCTTTTTGGGTAGGTGCGCTATTGAGCAATAAAACTAAAAATACCTTTAATCTCATATAGTTCTTATTTTTGTGTTAAATAACATATGCATTTTATTTTGGGTGTATACTGCTTTATATTCTGAACAAAAATTATCATAAAATGTAGTTATTTTAAATACTGAATATTTTTTGTTATTTCCACACTGTTTGCGTTTTGGATCTTTTGGATACAGTATTTTTACTAGGTGTGCCTTCAGGAAAAAATGTATTTTCAATTCTATTATGTTTTTATATCAATATCTAAGTACTTTTTCTTGGTTTGTATTTACTACATCGAATTCTAAAAATTCAATGGAAAGTATTCATGTATTTTAAAAATAGGTTAGAAATTAAGGTATCACCGGAACAATATTTCCAAGAAAAAGAATACGTAGAATTCTGCTGAATATAAGAAAGATAGGTTGTCTACCTTTGCTGTCAAAATATAATAATTTGAACGGGCCTTCAACATAAAACAACTCATTCAATATTCAATTATTTTTTCAAATAAAAAGACAGCAGTAGCTGTTATTTAAAATTAATTTGCGCATAAAAAGTCTAAAGACCAAAAAGTAGAACGTGGCCTCTAGGGGGGTCGTCCAAAAATGACGTCACACTCGTAGGGGGAAGGTCCGTAATTTTGTGACGTCGTGTGATGAGGGGGAGGGGTTCAGATGGTGGGACGTCACATTTTTGCATTAACAAAAAGTAATGTTGGAAAACGAATTTTAGCCGTTATTTCGCGTTTTAGAAAACTGTTTTAATAACTCGTAATAGGAATTGATTAAAATACTCTATGTTTAGAGAGTTCAGACAAAATTTTAGAAAAATATCTATTTTTAAGAAAAATTCAACTTCAATTTTGAGTGGGGGGGGGGGGTGTAGCCTGTGATGTGACGTCATTTTACGGGTGGGATTCTGGCTTTTTGTGACGATGTGTGACGGAGGGGAGGGAGGTAAAAATCGTCCAAAAAAGCGTGACGTCATTTATGGATGACCCCCTAGCCCCTCGTCTTAAAATTTAAAAAATTTAGATTATCTGAAAAAGTAATCGCAGACAGATCTAAGTTCACATAGATTGGGCCTATTTGTGTACGACTTATTTATGTAACTATTCTAAATCTTCCGGGAGGGGGCGGTCGACTTACTTCGTGGGACGGACCCCTCGAAGAGATGCCTGGAAGAAACTGAGTGGAACCCCCAGGGAAAGCGGAAGAGAGGGCGCCCAAGACAGACCTTGAGGCGGAGTCTTCTCGAAGAACTGAAGCTAACAGAAATGTCTTGGGAGTGTCTGTCCCCCCCCCCCCCCCCCGGAGAAAAAAGTCTGGATGAAACACTGTACTGTGTTGTAGAGGTAGTGCTTTTTTAATTGCAAGTTGGTTATCGTCACTAAATGTACTAACTGTACTGTCGTGTAATTTCATGTTTATACTGTTTTTCCCCCTTACAGATTTACATGCATTAATTGAATAGACAATAAGGCATACCAAATTCTGTGATATATTGGCAGAAATGGTAAGCCTCTCTAATCTAGCAATCATGCTCCTTCTTGCAGATGCCAATTTAACTAATTATATTTTAAAATGAAAATATAAAACAAATTTTAAAAATTTAGTTTATTTCAATTTATCAACAATGTCAAATTAAACAGGAATCAAGAATTAAAAGTTTGTTTTTAAACACAAAACCTACAAAAGAACCAAGCCAAATATTATTTTATCAACAAATACTTTATGTGAGAGAACAAAATTTCCTGTAAAAATAAAAAAAAACATTTAATAGAGATAAATCTAGTAAACAAGTAAATATTTTCTAGTATAAAAATACCAGAGATGATAAAAATCTAGTTTTTTATAGTCTGTGGTTTTCAGCTGTCATCCAAGTTTAGTAAAGTTTGTAACATAAGCCACCAAATGACCACATCAAACTATTATATGTACAACAGTTAATATTTAGACATAATGTACACATTTCACTTATAAATATGCCACTTATAACAAATGAAAACAAAGCCATACTAAAGATATTTTTTAAAGTTTAAATCACATTTCAATTAACTTGCATTCTATATAACAAGTATATGATGCGACTTGTATTGACTAATAATATACAAAATTACTTCCATTAGGGAAAAATAAAATGTACATTATATATTCACATATGGCAACAAATCTAGCACAAATTCAAAGTGAAGACCTATCACTTTAATTTTAGTACAACATAGCAAAGTCATTATAAAGTGACAGCCTTAAGACTGATCATCATCATCCATATACCTAGGGCTGGTAGGGCTATAATGTGGTGTTGTAGGTGAGTAAGCAGGACTGCTAGGAGAATATCCAGGTGATGCTGGTGATGAGGATGGCGATGTGGGGGAGTACTTGGGAGATGAAGGGGAGTAAGTGGGGGATGCTGGTGAATAGTTTGGTGAAGATGGGGAATATGAAGGGGAGGTTGGGGAATACTGGGGTGAAGAGGGAGAGTAATCTGGAGAGGCTGGACTGTAACGGGGTGAAGTTGGGGAGTACTTGGGTGAAGATGGGGAATAGGAGGGGGAGGCAGGGGAATAGCGTGGTGATGATGGGGAATATTGGGGTGATGCTGGTGAATACTTTGGAGAGCTGGGTGAATACTGAGGTGATGATGGTGAATAAGATGGAGAGGTGGGGGAATAGGATGGTGATGAAGGGCTGTATTTTGGAGAAGCAGGTGAATAAGATGGTGAAGATGGAGAATAGTTTGGTGATGATGGAGAATATGATGGGGATGATGGGGAATAGGAAGGTGATGAGGGGGAGTATGATGGTGATGTTGGGGAATAAGATGGAGAAGTTGGTGAATAAGATGGTGAAGCCGGGGAATACTTGGGTGATGATGGGGAATATGAAGGACTGGTTGGGCTGTATCCAGGGCTTGTGGGGGAATAAGAGGGTGATGTTGGGGAATACGATGGGGAAGTTGGAGAATATGAGGGAGAGGTTGGGGAATAGGATGGGGATGTGGGGGAATATGATGGAGATGTAGGGGAATAAGATGGACTGGTGGGGGAATAAGATGGGCTGGTAGGGCTGTATGAAGGGCTTGTTGGGGAGTAGGATGGGGAAGTTGGGGAATATGAAGGGCTGGTTGGGCTGTAACTTGGTGATGTAGGGGAGTAAGATGGAGAGGTTGGGGAGTATGATGGAGATGTGGGGGAATATGAAGGAGAAGTTGGTGAGTAAGAAGGGCTTGTAGGGGAATAGGATGGGGAAGTGGGTGAATATTTAGGGCTAGTTGGGGAGTATCCAGGGCTTGATGGGGAGTAGGAGGGTGAAGTTGGCGAGTAGCTGGGACTCTGAGGTGTTGCCACAGCTGGTGAGCTTGGCATGTAGGCAGGTGATGCTGGAGAATAGCTTGGTGAAGAAGCTCCTCCATGCATGGGTGATGGTATGTAAGGTGAGCTGGGGGAACCAGGCGACCCAGGCTGTGGAGACCATGCCGGAGAATAGCCTGGTGAATATCCAGCTTCACTGGCAGCAGATGGAGAAAATCCGGCTCCTCCGGGAGTCATCCCACTGCCAACTCCAGGTGACCATGCGCTCGCATAGCCTGGTGTTCCTGGCTGACCCCATGGTGTCATCTGTGGTGACATGGAACTTGTAGGAGAGCCTGCTGCACCAAAGAACATTCCAGTGCCTACACCACCTGTATTATAAAAACAAAATTAAGCTTCTGAATACAAAATGATGCTCTAAACTAATGATAACTAACTTTTCAGACCCAGTGGTCCACATGCTACAAAATAAATTATTTCTTTAATTTTAAAAGACTTAAATTACCAATGAGATCTAGCATACCCAAACATTGATACTTTAAAAAAAAATACAACAGGAAATATAATATTTTACCTCCAATATGTCCAACTCCAGTAGCTATTGGAATTTCCATACCATATTTACACTTTTCAGCATCCAACAAAAGCTCAAAACAGCCTGTACCAATTTTAGCCAACTGTCCCAGCATAATGTTTTCTGAAACTCCTTTCATAGGATCAGTTTCAGCATGAGAAGCAGCCTCCATCAGGATATCAACCTGTTAAAGAAATGTCATCAATTAGCAATTATACTTAGATTTGCAAATAAAGGCACAACTAAAATAGCAAATAAATAAAATACCAGTAAAATACAACATCAACTTACAGTTTCTTCAAAAGAGCATCTTGCCAAAGCGCCAGTTTCTTGCCTGTTGATACCGTGACGTGTGATAGCCATCAAGTGTCCTTTAGAGGTCATTATATCACAAAGTAGAGCCAAATGACGGTAATTAACGTAAGAACCATCAAAAGAAATGACGTGGTTCATCTCCCTCTCAATAGCTTTACGCACAGCTTCAATACCAAGAGTCTGAAATTGTTAATAAAAATTGATTTTAAAAAAATGATAAACAGATCTTTTTAAAGTTGTACACATTGCACTTGATTCAAAGCATTATATCCAACTTACATCAAAAACTTCAATAATGTCATTAGTGTAAGTTCTGACAGGGTCGACATCCCTTTCACTCAACACTTTTGTAAGACTAGACCCATCAGTTTCCAGGATCCATTCACTGACTGCTTTGAACTCTCCCTCTTCTGTAATATGTACTCTCTTTTTGTCATCAGTGTTGGGCAGATGCATGTACACCTGTAATTGATAAACAAAACATTTAAGCCTATTGCCATAAATTTAAAATAAAAAAATGATGCAAGCAGCCACTAAAAAGATTAATTACCTTTGAAATAGCTTCAATGCCTTGCAATGACATATCTGACAGTAGGTTAGCTTCAATACAGCGTAGGAAAACATCATCTTCCATCTTATCAACAACCTCCTCATCCTAAAAGGATAAAAATAATAATTTGTAAATGTAAAAATACTTAAAAAAAAACTTTTTAAAAAACCACGTTTTTCTTGTGGACTAAAAAGTAGAAAATAACTATTTACATACATTTGATGACAAAAAACGTGGGTCGGGCAGATGGGTCGGGAAATTTGATGGTGAACGTACCCACGTTTTTTGTCATCAAATGTATGTAAATAGTTATTTTCTACTTTTTAGTCCACAAGAAAAACGTGGTTTTTTAAAAAGTTTTTTTTTAAGTATTTTATTTTCTCCTTTTTAGTCCGTTGCTACACATGAAAAACGTGGTTTTTAAAAAGTTTTTTATATAGTTTATTTTCTACTTTATCTAATCACTTGATTAAGTATGACTTGACTAAGTGTTTTTAAATACACGGACTAAAAAAATCTTGAGCGACCGATACGCTTTAAACAGAGAAAGGGTGTAATTTACGTTGCTGGCGTGGAGATCTACTCACGAATCACGTGATCAAATCTCCCATAAACAAACAAATAAACGCGAAGCTGAGTTAAGGAAAAACGTGTTTATGTGTATTTTAGCATGCCCAGCATACCAACCGTGTCACCGTTAATGTGTTACCGTGTCCGTTCTCCTTTTTAGTCCGTTGCTACACATAAAAAACGTGGTTTTTTAAAAAGTTTTTTTTAAGTATTTTATTTTCTCCTTTTTAGTCCGTTGCTACACATCAAAAACGTGGTTTTTAAAAAAGTGTTTATAAATACACGGACTAAAAATCTTGAGCGACCAGGATTCGAACCTGGGTTGTCGCGGCCACAACGCGAAGTACTAACCACTATACGATCACGGCCAGCGCGCTCACATCGATTGGGGCCGAAGTAACTGTGTCAATAGGCCTCAAGTCTTGTCGGTATCTTTAGAAATCATGTCCTCAATTTTATGGTCCTTGGGGCGTAATTAAATTAAGCTAATTACGGTCACTAATTGCTAGTTTTTATGATTGCATCTGAAATTGTTAGGCGAAAGTAGCATGCATGCCAAATTTCAGGTCTCTAGAGCAATCAGAAGTGGGCTAATTTTCGATGTCAATTTTAACAACAAACAAACAAACAAACGCGAAGCTGAGTTAAGAAAAACGTGTTAAAAATGAATTAGCACTGGTAGCTTCAAGTAGAGTTAAAAATAAAATTCAAGTTTCAACTTACATCTTGATATTTGTTTTCATCTGAATTCATGATACGAATTCTCAACACAAGTTTTTCTGCATTGTCATCATTGAAAATACAGTTGAGATCATCACCAAAACCAGCTTGAATTTTTTCAGAAATGGCTTCCATAGTTAGTTTCTTATCTGTCATACGCTTACGATCAAGCTCAATACGAAGCAGCCATGGAGAAATTCTTGATGCATCAAAATCTGGCATTTCGTAGTAGATGCTTACCTGAATATCATAAAGGAATTTTACTATCAGATCAAAATGACAATGACCAAAATAAAAAATGGTTAAAAATTGAAATGACTATTTTGTCCTCAGAAAAAAATTAGAGTATGAAATTGACTATCACTAAGCATCAAACAGGATTTAGCATCACAGGACAAAATTTGAAAACAAATAGCAATTAAAATTCCAAAACAAATAGCAATTAAAATTCCTTCACATACCCATTCTTGATCTTCAGCAATAACAGTATTCATTGGATCAGGATCATAGTAGATAGCAGTATTAGCGGTTACTCTACGTAATGTTGTGTGCTCCAGGCGACACAAGACATCCTTACACCTCTCAGCATCACGGGCTGCTTGACCCAACAAATAGACAGTGAGAGACGGGGTCTTGGGTTTCTTAGAGATATTTATAATCTCCTTCAAACGAGGTACACCAAGTGTTACGTTCTTAGCAGACACACCAGCATAATGGAAAGTGTTCAGTGTCATCTGTGTGGCAGGTTCTCCCAAAGACTGGGCAGCCAAAGCTCCAACCATCTCACCAGGATGAGCCTAATATTAAAAAACATTGTAGAAAAATATTAACAAAATCTTATTCTCAAACTAAAACCCTAGCTAAATAGAACAGGAATTCAATTTTTGAAATCCGTGTCCTTACCATGGCTTGTTGAAATTTGGTCTCGATTTCACCCAATACCCACTCAAAAGCTTCTGATGTGAGACTGTGTTCCTCTGCCACACGTTTGGTACAGAGGGTTGACCTAATCAAAGCCTTCATGAGCAAGGTGGCATTTTCATTAGCTTGTAGTGAAATTTGGTCTTCTCCAACCACAATTATCAGCTTGCGACAGAGATCTCTCACACCTGTTTCAAAATTTGAATAATTTAATAACAAGTCTAAAATGTGATGTCTAAATAACCTATAACTGAAACACAAAATAATTAAATAATACCTTCAATGACTTTAAGTGGATGAAGGTCTGATGGTTTCCGTTTGTCAATTCTGAAAATCTTTTGGGCATTCCACATTATTCTTTCCATATTGCAAGGCAAGACAATACGAGCATCACCAGTGGCAAAAACCTGCCTAATATTTGACCTGTCGTCATTCAGCTGCTCCCATTCTCTCTCTAGCTCAGCCATCAAACTAGCATCGCCCATAAGATCTTTGATAACTTCTTCATTGAGATGTTTTCTCATTGATCTGAAAGAAAATTTGGACCAAAACAATTATAAAGAAAATAATACTATATGAAATACTCTATAAGATAAGATGAATGAGAATTAATGTCCTCAGAAAAAAATTAGAGTGTTTAATACATATCATGGCATTTCAAACTGGGGTGTTCATCTTTGGACATAATTAATACAAGTAACATTATAAAATCATCACCTTTCATTTGTGGCATCAAAACGGAAGCGCCTCTCAAAAGCTTTGTCGGCTGGTTTAAGGGTAGGAAGGGACTGGAATTCTACCCAGCATGCATCAAGACCATCTTCACCATATCTCAACTGAACAAGCTGCTCTACTTGATTCCTTACAGTACCATCATATTTTACCATTACACTCTCCATAGCTTTAATAAGACGACGCTGAATGTAGCCTGGAGATTGCACAAATATTTATATTTTAGAGATTCATGAATTTTAACTGTGGGTTGCACAAACATTTTCATTTTGGAGATATTTTATTGTCTTAATAACAACCTACCAGTTTCTGCAGTTTTTACGGCTGTATCAATGAGACCTTCACGACCTCCCATAGCATGGAAGTAGAACTCAGAAGGTGTGAGACCAGCAAGATATGAGTTCTCAACAAAACCTCTTGACTCAGGACCATAATCATCTTTGATGAAATGGGGCAAGGTGCGGTATTTAAAACCAAATGGAATACGTTTTCCTTCAACGTTTTGTTGACCGACACAAGCAATAACCTGTCAAATATTTGTTAAAACTATTACAATATATATTTTAAATTTCTGAAAATGAATAAATCTAGAAATGGTCTCTTCAGAAAAAAATTAGAGTGTTTGAAAATAATTTTCATACGAGATTTCAAAATAAATTATCATCATTAGACGGATTCTTTAAAGTGAAGTTAATACAAAATCAGAAACCTGAGAAATGTTAATCTTTGATCCTTTAGAACCAGAGACGACCATAGATTTGAAGTTGTTGAATTCAGAGAGAGACTGTTGGGCTTTGCTTCCAGTTTTGTCACGAGCAGCATTAAGAATTCTGTTTACCTACAATTTATAAATAACGGTTATTTAAGTACTTTCTTAATTATAAGTCACAAAACAACTAAGGAAAAATTGGCATTTTTAAAACTATAAACAAAAGCATAAGTACCTGGTTCTCAAAAGTTTGCCTTAGTGTGTTACCAGGTGTTGGTTCAAGTTCATCATTGTGAGCTTTTTCAATAACGTCTATCACATCATTCTAGGAGAGAACAAAAATGAAAATATTTTATATTCTATAAGAAACCTGAATATTCAGCGCTCAGCAATGTAAAATAGATGTCCTCAGAAAAAAATTAGAGTATATAATGATTATCATCTTTATCAATTAAAAAAATATCATCATTGGACAAGTTAGTAATGTGAAAAAAAAAAAAAAGTAAATACCTTGGCATTTCTGATAGTCTCCTGGATGTCCTGATAAGTTTGCTGGTCAGCAATAGTGTCACCAATACCAATGCTGTGACCCTCCAACAAAAGCCAGTTGTTGACTACGGTCTGGATGTTGCCATAAAATTCACCAGCTATCTCATGGCCCATTTCAAGAAAAACAATATGCACCAGTGATCCCGCTGAGGTTCCCAAAGCCTTCTTACAAATGATTCCACTGATAAGCTCAGCATCTTCGATAAGTACCTGTAATTAATAATTACTCAAGATAAATGACAGAATAAAACTAGATGTCAGTTCACCCCACAAGGCTAAAATTGGTTGGGTGAATTAAAAAAAAAAAGCTAGTCTACATGTTTGGCTAGCAGTTTTTGAATTTATTTATACATTTAACAGTATCTTTAGGGCTAACAAGTGCTATCTTTGACACTAACCCTAGTATCTCCAGGAGATATCCATTTGTATGGACCACTGTCTTCTGCATCAGGATGTGTGGAATGTGTTCGGTTGTAGTTTACACGACCGGGAATGATTAAAGAAAACAACTGTTTTCCTGTCCAGAGTGGTTGTGGTTTTAAAATGGCTGGCTGAGGCATTCGACCATCCCATGTAGGAAGGAACATCAGCAGATTCATCATTTGAGACTGTAAAAGAAATCACATAATGGTATAAAATTCTGTGAATACAAAAAAAAAACATATTAAAAAAAAAAACTTAATAAAAGAATAACGCACCCTATCGATGAACACATCTCTTTTGGTCATCTTTCTAACAGCACAGAGTGTATCCTGTACAATACCCATGACAGGCCTATTAGCCTGGGGAGTGATGATCATACGAGGTACACAAGCCAAGTTGTAGATTTCAGCTCTGGTTTCTAATGATTGTGGCAGATGAAGATTCATTTCATCTCCATCAAAATCAGCATTGTATGGTGTGGTTACACTAGAAAAAGAGAAATAGGTTTTAAATTAGGAAAAACGTAAACAGTTAAAAACAAAATAAGTAAAAAAAAACATTCCAAAGAATCTTAAAGCAACTGAACTCCGAAAATGCTTAATTATAAAAAATGGGCATATATGTAAGCAACATCAAGAAGCAATTGAAAAAACTACAACTAAATTTATGAGAAAACTATGAACGTTTTAATACCTCAGATTAAGCCTGAAGGTAGACCATGGTAAAACTTTAACTCTGTGACACATCATACTCATTTTGTGTAGTGTTGGCTGCCTGTTGAAAACAACTACATCATTGTCTATCATGTGTCTCTCTACCTGTTGAACAAAAATATTTTTTTTTTAAAAGTTGAAGCATTATTAACAAAAGTACAACAGCCTGTAATGACAGATATAAGATATACCTTGTAGCCTATCTGTAGATGAATGTCACTAGCTTTTGGGTGGTACCTCAAATCAATGCGTTCACCATTGTCTCTCACAATGTATTTAGCACCCGGGTACTGGTTAGCCCCTCTCCTTACCAAGTTCTGCATGCTGGGAGTACAAAATTCTTTTCAATCACAATCTGTTACAGCTTTTATGATAATGTAATTGAAAATTTCATGAATATGCGATTAACAAAAGAAACTTCCTCAGAGAAAAAAATTAGAGTGTGACTATCAGTCATCATACGTCACTAAGATACTAGAATCTCATCATTGGAAATTAGACCAAAGAAATGTAATTACCGATCAATGTTAAAGGGAGTGACCAACTCTGGAAATGTCATGTTTTGGGCAATGGTTCTGGGAACCCCGACTTGATCCACTCTTAGATTTGGATCTGGTGTAATTACAGTTCTGGCTGAAAAATCAACACGTTTCCCCATAAGGTTACCACGAACTCTGCCTTCCTTTCCTTTCAAACGTTGTTTGACAGATTTCAGTGGCCTACCAGATTTTTGTACAGCCTGCAAAAGATTTGTATACACATAATTCCCATTTTATAGAATAATCGAACAAGATAGCATATAAATCTAATAATCCAACCCTACCCACCTTTGGAAGGCCTGGAATTTCATTATCTACAAGAGTGGCACAGTGGTACTGAAGCATCTTAGTATCTTCAAGTATGATGTGAGCAGCAGCTCCATTTTGCTCATTGCGCCTCAGCTGATTATTTGCTTTCACAATGTCTGAGAGTTTATGTGTCAAGTCATCCTATAAAAATTAAAACCATAGTCAAGTTATCCTTTAAATAGACATATTATAAGCAAAAAATAATAATGTACAGCCAATATCACTTAACAAACCTGATTTCTGGCAGACCCAAACATGACTACTGCAGGCCGCACAGGTAAAGGTGGAACAGGAAACACTGTCACGATCATCCAGTCAGGACGAGCCCATTTGGGATCCATGCCAAGCACAATGCATTCCTCATCTGTAATTCTTTTAAAAATCTCAAGCACTCTTTCTGCAGAGACTAAAATTTTGCGTTCCTGTGATTCTTCATTTGTATGTTTCCACTCAGCAATGAGCTCAAGACCATTCCTTTTAATGTTTGGCTGATATCTACCACAACCACCATGACCCTATTGAGTAAAAAAAATAACTGATGTCTAATCTCAACCAAATATGTGATCATTTACTAATTATTATAAATACTATACTCATCATAAACAAATCCTGAGTCCTATACCTTTGGTGTTTCCTCTTGATTTTCTGTTTCTTCAGTTTCTTCTTTCTTACGTTCCATCTCATCTCCTCCTTCACAAACTTTGCGTGACTTGCATAAGTTGTATACATTGGCAAGTCGCTTTTGAGGGTACTGTTTTGATTTACTGATTATATCTTTCATCTTTGGGTGAGCCTAAAATTAAGCAAAAAGGTTTTAATTATGATCTTTATTAAAAAACTCTGATATCAAGCAACTTGCATATCTAATAATAACTAGCCCGTAACACGTGAATTCTAAAAGAAATGTTTTTAAAAAAGTCACTTAGCTAAGACATAATATAAATAAAAAGGTAAATATCCAAGCAACTTCTAAGAATAAAGGGATGATTTTAGATACCGCGATGTCTGATAAGACTCTTCTATATAATAGGTGTGTTGGGTTGTTAATAGTATTGTAATCTCAACTAATTTTATAGTTAGAAATTAGGGTTAGGTGTATTGTAGGGTCAGGATTGGGGACAGGGTTAGCATTGACATTAGCCAGCAATGTGTGTATTTAGTAAACTACCAGTAACCTAACACCCTTTTTTTAAAAGAAGATTCTATTATCGGACACTGGTATAAAAATTCTCCTGAATTAAGAAACATTTACCGGATCCATAAGTAGCTTTGAGCAAAAAAAGCAGACACATCTTAGAATTTTGATTGTTTTTGTAAGGAAGGCCACATGAAAAACTGGTTTGGCAAGTTCAATGTGACCAAAATGTCCTGGGCATTCTGTCATATTTCCAGCACATGTTTGACAGCGAGATTGTCGGTCTATAACTCCTTGTCTTGGATCCATAAGACCCCCAAGCTTTGCACGCCCACCTTCCATAGTCTCTGGATACTTGATGCCACCATTGTCAGTAACTGACATACGGCGCTGAAAATAAAAATACAGCATGTAAGCTTAAAAAGGAAATAATTAGCTTATTCTTTAACAGCTCATGTTCATTTTCCCTCATGCAGCAGATGGCCATTACTTTGTGCAAAAATACTACTCCTTTAAGGGTTGATAGATTAACAGAATTCAGCCTACCACTAGCTACATTGTGTCATGTTATTTATATAACATCGGCCTATAAGTGCTGATTGTAAAATTTTGTTGAGGACTTAAGTGTAAAATTTGGTAAATGTTTGGGATGGGGGGGGGGGGTGTTTGACCAGTAACATGACAAAAGTAAAATAGACATAATCCTCAATAGATCTATTTGCAGAATAGAAAATTTGAGAAGTTTATTTAACGCAGGACAGGCATGCTTTTTACACTCAGTAATATTTTTAGGGGCGAGCAAATTTTTAAATTTTATTGTCAACAGTAGGCCCATAACATAACTGCCTTATTTTTTTTGCCATATAAATGTCTAAATAATTACTAAATATTAATAAAAACAAAGCTTCGGTAATAGTATTTAATTACTTAGGCCCTACATCAAGCCTCCGACCTACATTAAAGCAAGAGGTGCACCTGCAAAATGACCTTTTCTTAACGTATTTGCAAAAATCAAGAAATGAAAAGCCTGCTCAATTTAAAAAATTTAATTGTTTTACTTAAAATGTTAAGGACCAATTACTAGATTCTAAAACCAGCCTAAGAGACTTTGGCTATTTTAACTTAAAATAATTATTACGATAGCTAGATCTAGACTAACATGCATCATCGAAAGGTCTAGATCTAGTATTAATTATAGGATTTAGGAGGGTCTAGAATCTACTACTGATAGATTGTTTTGATAAAAATAAATGCTTAAAATGCACATGTTCTTTCTGCATTGTAGGGACAATCTCATGTTTTTAACCCTTGCCCTAATTCATGAAATTGAAATCTTTACCCCGAACATAGTGGATAAATGCCCTCAAGAAAAGATAAGTATAAAGATTGGTAGGCTAGTATTGTCTGAACAGTTTACAAATGTGCAATATTAAAAACATACTATCTCTTCAGGGCCCAAGATTCCAAACTGAATCTTTTTTACTTCACGTAGTGGAGCATTTGAATCTCCAGTGTAGCCAGCTGCGACAGTCATTTTGCTTTCTGCTTGGTCAGCGTTGCAAGAACACTAGAAATGTTAGATTTTAAGGTAACGTCACTTAAAATCCAGAAGTTAAGTAGATCTAACTTCTTTTAAAGTGTATAGACTATGCACTAATTACATAACAAATTCAGACATAGCTGTGTGTTTAGACACCGAAAGGTGTTTATTGCGCCTCACTTTCTCAACTCGAGCGCTTTCACAGCTAGCCCAGTAATGTAACTTCCGGTAATGTACAAGGCTTATATACCTTCAAAGTGGGGACAACATTGCTTTCAACACGGATCAGTATTGCCAGTTTGGATTCTAGTATACTTCAGACAAGGTATATTTAAATGAATTGTTTATAATTCCTTTATCAACTTTTGAGGTTCAATCTAGACTAGTTTGTTACTGTAAATAGAAAATCGAAGTATTTTCTCCAAAAGCATCCACATAAACGTGTTTCTAGTTCAAAAAGATCGATCGAAGAAGTACTTATTTAATCTTTAGGCCTACGACTAGGTTAGGCCTACCCAAGGCCTAACTAAATTTAATATTTTAGTTATAAGTATGTGCAAACTGGCCAGAAAATAAAGCTACCTCAGCATTAAAATAAGCAAACAAAACTAGCATACAAACATCTGCAAATGCCAAAAATAGATTTGACCAACCCATAATGATTTATATTATAATGTATAGATTACTGGCTTCATGTTTTTTTTAAAATCAATTTTTACTAAACTGGGGTGGTAATCTCCTGTTTTTGGTATGTAAATCCGTCCGAAGCTAATAATTGCGGAAATTGTAATATTGGGATATGACTGTGATATTGGTTTATTTACAACATATTTTACAAAATATAACAGCTGATCTAATAATAAACCACAAATAAGGGTTTGGCCAATGGAAAATATCCAGGAATCGACTTTAAATTTAAAACAAAAAATAAAATCAATCATCAAAAAAATAGTTAAAAATAATTGGGGTATTTTCCCTTGAGAACTTACTATTCATATGTCTGTTGTGTTGATTTTGTTGTGATAAATGATCCTTCTTAGCATGTAATTGCGATGATTGGCCTATGTCGTACCTCGGCCAGTACCATCCGTACGCTCTAGTGGCGGATTTCCAAAGTATAAACATTTGTATAAAATAAGTTTATTTCTTTACATTATCTTTTACTATGTTTTTATGATTTATATTTAACAAAATTAAGATCACATAACACCTCAACAGAGGACGTGTTACTCAGCTGCCTATTCGCAGTTTTTAGTGTGTAAAAATAATTTCTGTGGGCTTCAAAAGTGTCAGAATTGTTTTGTTAACTGGATGGGGAGTACAGTTTAAAAATGTAACATATATTTCAAAATAAAATTACTCATTATTTAACAAGCTCAGTAATAAAGTATATGTTCTAACTGGTCATTCTTTGACTATAATGTCGCAAATTCATAAAATAAAATTATTTTACTATTAATCTGGTTTCACTGTTTCAGCGTTATTTTCTTTTATTAAAATACTAATAGTTGGTAAGTTTAGAAAAAAAAATGTGTTTTGTAATTTGGGATACATTGTATCTAGAGTTTTATGAAAAATTAAAACTTAATAATAATGGATCTTTCATTTATTTTCCAGTTTTTTTTTGGGGGGTTGTATGTAGGTTATCATGATATATTTGGTTTAGTTTTCGTTGATTATGTAAATAAAACAAAACTAAAAATATAGGGGTTAAGATTTTTTTATTGTCACAAATAGCTTCAATGTTACATTTCATTCCTAAGATAAATATTTACTCTAAAAAATAAAAAAAACTTCATAGATTAATAGAATTAGGTGTAATCAACATACTTTAGCTCACTGTATTTATATGTATACATAAATCTATACCTATACAATAAGGAAAGATGAAAATAAACATGATGGTTAATAAGTCGAATCATTATTATGCAAAAAATGCAATTACTGGCTTATCAACAGTTGTATTGTAAGAAAGGATCAACTTACGCTTAAAAATTTATGTTTTAAGTATTCGACTTTACAACATTTTGATAAATCATATAAAACCATAAAAGCAATACATTATTACATGCAAGTACCATTTGGTCAGATAATTCCACTTTAAACTAAGGGACGGGTTGATTATCTTTAAGACATCAGGCAATGATGACTTACTTTTTTTCATCTCATCAAGATTAAGCCATGACTGTGCAGATATTTATAAAGTTACCTTTTTTTTGGACTCATCTAAGAGACACCCGTTTTACTAGTGATACCCCGATTGTTGTTAAGAGCATGATAGCTTTTAATTCTATGCTTTGTTAATTAAGTCCGTAGACTTGCACAGAATAGAGCTATTACTGTAAAACAGAATAGTTTGAGTTACCTCCCTTATCTCTAAAACCATTCTTCGCATTTTGCGAACCTCTTTTTTTTTTAAATACCCAAAGTTGGTGGGAGTGGGGGGGGGGGGGGGAATTAGGCAAATAACAGTAATAATAATCATTAAAAAAGTTTTTAAAAACCCACGTTTTCTGATTGAACTAAAAAGTAGAAAATAAATGCTATACATCACAATAATGCAAGCGATCACTCTACTATAAGCGATGAAAAACGAGGGGCGCCGAAGTAAAAGTTATATTACTATTAATTAGATAATACTATTGACTTTTATTAGGGAGCTTGTAGAGAGTCAACAGTATTAGAAACTGTAAGAAAATCACGGCGCCCCACGTTTTTCATCGCTTATAGTAGAGTGATCGCTTGCATTATTGTGATGTATAGCATTTATTTTCTACTTTTTAGTTCAATCAGAAAACGTTGGTTTTTTTAAAAACTTTTTTAATGATTATTATTTTCTACTTTTTAGTCTTTGTCTGTTTGTTTGCATTAAAATCTTGCTATCGATTTTATCTTTTCACTTTTTTTTGGGTAAACGAAGACAACTCGTAAAAAACACGTTGTGTGAATACGTTACTGACTAGAACACATAGATTTGAACCCGTGTCGAGTGGGATAGCAATCGTGTGCCAAACCACTCGACCATATCGTCTCCCCCATACTGGCCACCAGTTGTTACGGTTGTTTGTACACAAACACCGCGTGAACACTACTCAGTAAGCAAAGAGGGAGAGTACCGAACATTGTTTTCATCAAATTACAGTTACTGGGTTATGTCCCTTTTTCCCCACGTTTTTACTACAATTATATAGCGCTCTAAAATGCTCAATAAAATGTTTCCATGGATCAATTTAGTAATAATAACAATTGAATATTCTATTGTCATCCAAAACAAAGCTTCCCTTAAAATTTCAGCGCGCTAGCTAAATGGGAAGTGCCAGAAATTTCGATCGCAAGATTTGATTGGAAAGACAGAGACGAAAGCAAGTTAAAGAAAACGTGGGAAAAAGCTTTGTTGATATAGGTTTTAATTGTACTGCGGATCTAAATATTTAATGAGAACCAAAGACCAATTTCGCGAATAACACAATTGGGTTTTGACAAGCATTTCAAAATGGTTGCCTAGTGTAGGCAGGAATTAGTCAGTGACGGGGGTTATATTATATATATATATATATATATATATATATATATATATATATATATATATATATATATATATATATATATAAATGAGAAGAATTTACACTAGTAAAACGAGGTAAAAAAAAAGACTGGTACAACACGACGACTGCTACTGCTTTGTTACTTTGTTCAACCTACTGATAATTTAAAACTGTAATATACTATATAGAAATTGTTCTAAAGACACGACAAAAAGTAGACCAAATTTGCTTGCACCTTCTACAAACTACATTCTAAAGCAGTGGTTCTTAACCTTTTTTTAGGTACCGAACCCTACCAGTTTCACATGCGCATTCACCGGACCCTTCTTAATAGTTTTATCGTCCACAATAAAAAAAATACGATCGTGAATCTTTTGAGTAAGTTTTGTGGCTTGACCTCCGCCAAAGCCCTGAGACTGACTTACTGAACCTCTGAGGTTTGTTCGAACCCAGGTTAAGAAACACTACTCTAAACTTTTTTTATTCTTTTTATTTTTTTTCGGCTTCCTCAGGAGCGTATGCGTAGGCAACGCTTTGCCAACTAATTTGATTTTTTTTATAAAGATCGATCCTGATAATACAGCGTCCCCCATCTTTATTTTGACGATTTTAAAACCTTCCGGATACCGAAAAAAAAACTTAGTTTTGCGAACATTCACGTCTGGGTGTGTATGTAAACAAGATAATTTAGTGCAGTTTCAGTTCATTTGACGAAATTTCATTCATAAGTATCAACATTTTTGGTTTTCTCTCAACCTTTTAGCGATTTCCGGAAACCGGAAGTGATATTTAGTCCATTTCCGGTTTATCGCAAGCCTATAATTTGATTATCGTTTAAGTTAAATCAACGATATTTCAAATATAAGTAATAGGGTGTATGCTTAAGTATCTTTCATCTTTTGATTGAGCTCCGGTAACCGGAGGTGGTACTTTACTCTATTTTCCTTGGGAACATCATAACTTGTGTACTGTTGTAATAAGGTTGATTAGAATTCATATATAAGTAATGGCATAGTGACTGGTTATTGTAGTGGTATCCTTACATGCTGGTGGATCAAGTAGTTTCAGTGGCGTCGCTTGGTCGGGTGTCACCCGGTGCGGCATTTCGTGGTGTCACCCCCCCCCCCCCCCCAAAGAAAAAATTATATATATATATATATATATATATATATATATATATATATATATATATATATATATATATATATATATATATATATGTGTGTGTGTGTGTGTGTGTGTGTGTGTGTGTGTGTGTGTCGACCTACATAGGCCTATAATACCCTGCCATTTTGCAATAATTGTTAATTTGTACTTAAAAGAGTATTTAACTTTAATTAACCACTAATGGAGCTGACAAAAAAATGCATTTTTCTTCTGAACTTTTTTGCAATTTTTCGCCTTGGTGTCACCCCCTGAATGGTGACACCCGATGCGGTCCGCACCCCCCGCCCCGCCCTCGTTACGCCTCTTAGTAGTTTAACCCTCTCACAGCGCTAACAATAGGTACCATTTTAATAGGGTGGACGAAATTTGATACATAGGTATGAAGTATTACTCTCTTGATTCTGTCAAATTTAGAGTGTTATCTGGTGACCAGAAGTAGTATTTTACGCTATTTCCGATTTATCAAAATTATCTCTTGTACTGGACCGATTTTTTTCAAAATTCTACTTATTTCAAGACTCGATAACAATCCACTGCGACATAAAATGTGACTTACTTAAATATTTAGTTTGCTTTTAAAACACCAATCGATTCTTTTACAAGCTATTATTTAATTAGCTTCATCTGTCTGTTGTGTTTTTGTCTGTAATCGAAACAGGCGAGTGAAAATCTCCACTTATAACCGACCAATCTATCTACAACTTGGCACGTGGTTCAAAATCAGATAACAATGCAATCTGACATATAATATTTTCTTAATATCAATTGGATGCTTAATTAACTTTTATCAATGAATTATTTTTTCCCCACTTTACGTTTGTTTTAATACAATAGAGTTTTATGACTAAAAACTATTGTGCACTAAAAGAACCAATGGACCCAACCGAGAATAGTCTCGAAATTATTCGAAAGGCCCATTTATTTATTTTAAAAATTACGTACCATGTTAATACAATAAATATGGTTATAAAAATCTGACTGTTTGATTTTTATTGGGACTTCACTAACAATTATAAGTATTTGATGTTTTACTATTTTCGCTAACTAAACAAAATTTAAAAAAAAAACAAAAAAACAATTTGTTTGTGAACATTTTATGAATAAAAATAACAACAAAAATGGCTGAACTAGGTCATGTGGTTAAAAAGTATTTTTTTTTAATTTAAAAATTGTATCGGCAAAGTTTTGAATGCACTCGGAGATTTTGTACAGCCAACCAAGATTTGTCTCATGAAAGTAAAACTTCGGGTTAAGCCTATAACTATAAAAATGTAGAGAAATGTAGCCTTTAAAAAATATGTAGGGTCGGCGCCCTGGGAAGCCGCCCCCCCCCGCCCTCCTCTCCCAGCTACGCCTTTGGTAATTTGGAGTAAATTTCATCGATTGTTTTAGCTTTTATGACAAAGTAAAATTACAAAAAATAATGGATGTTTCACTTGGTTGCTTGAGGCATGGATTTTAAAGGTGTATCATAATGAGCTTGGTTTAGTTGCTGTTGATAGAATAAATAAAAACTACTGATATAGGGGGTAAAGATTTTTTATTGTCACAAATGGCTTGAATGTTACATTTGATTCCTAAGGTAAATATTAACTTACACAATTTTTAAACTTCATAAACAGAATCTGGTGTAATTATTATATGAATACATATATCTAAACCTAAGGAGAGATTAAAACAAACATGATGGTTACTAAGTCATGTCATAAAAATACAAATAATGCAATTACTGGCTTATTAACAATTGTATTGTAAGATAGAAATTAACTCACAATTTAAAAATGTATGTTTTATGTATTTGACTTTTTAACATTGTGGTATATCATACAAAAATACATTTGAATTATATCCTTTCATGTCAGCCTTAAAACCAATATATTATGAAAAGCAAGTACAAAATTATCAAACAATCTTAACTAAAAATGCATCAATGAGATTCATTGTTCCAGAGGTATAATAGTCAAAGAAAATATTTTTTTTAGATTTTAAGTAAATAAAAATGTTGACATAACACCATAAGTAACACATATATATATATATATATATATATATATATATATATATATATATATATTTATATATATATATATATATATATATATATATATATATATATATATACATGTATATAGACATTAGTATATACATATATATTTATACATATATATATATATATATGTATATAGACATTCGTATATATATATATATATATATATATATATATATATATATATATATATATGTATATATATATATATATATATATATATATATATATAATATGAACAGTACAACCATCAACCAATAATTTACTTGACCATAATAGTCAGATAATTCCACTTTAAACTAAAGGACGGGTTGATTATCTTTAAGACAACAGACGATGATGAACATTATTTTTTAGAATCATCACGATCAAACAATGACTGCATCTATTCTAAAAGGATTATACAATTTATTTTTACTTACCTCGTGCGATCAGTTTTTCTTAATACAAAGCTGACCAGAGACACACGGTCTACTACTGGTACCCCAAATGTTGTTAAGAGCATAAGAGCTTTTAATTTTATTCTTAGTTCAATACTAGACAGACTTTTACAGAATAAATAAATTTTATTTTGATACAAAATATCGAGTAACCTCCCTTATCTGTAGAAACTGGGTTCGTGTTTTAAAACATACTCACAAAGGTAGTGGGAGTGGGTATCAGTCAAATAGCAACAGTTAAAAGCTGTTTTAACATTAACTTTTAAATTTACTGCGATTTAATAAATCTAAAAATATTTTATCATAAACAAAAACAAATTTCGAGAATTACGCAACTGCTCTTAACAAGCATTTAAAAAACGGTTACCGAACTAAGGTGTAGCCTAGTCCGGCGTTCGTTACATTTTCACATACACACACACAGACACACACACGAACATATATATATATATATATATATATATATATATATATATATATATATATATATATATATATATATATATATATATATATATATATATATATATATATATATATATACACACACTAGACTACCCGTTATTCTTGAATAACCGTGTGTTACGGGGGTCATCCATAAATGACGTCATGTTTATTTGACGAATTTTATCTTTCCCTTCCCTTCCCACTGCCACACATCTTCACAAAAAGCCAGACCCCACATTTAAAAAGATGTCACACCTCAGGCGACATGTTTTTATCGTTTAAAAACACATATTTCAGCTGAGCATGGGTCTGACCACACTATCCCTTCATTTGCTGAGAACACAGAAACAGTTGAACTCTACTTGACCTGCCCCGTCTCCCGCCAAGTCCAGATAGGCAACTTCACGTCTACAAAAAAAATTTAAAAAAAAGAAGCAATTTTACATTGACATGATATGTCTCGAACTCGTACCACCCGCATGGTAACTATTACACTAATCTATCAACTCAGCTATCGGGGAAGTTCCGATTCGGTGCAAAATTAGTGGTATAGTTTACATAGAGAGTCCGCCTAAGAAACTTAAGTTTCGCGAATAGGCCCTATTACTATTTTTTCAAATTAAATTTTATTTATATTAAATAATTAAGGCCTGAAATAGTTTAGCAGAGAAACTCATTATTGGCATAGATTCTTGATCTAAATAGAGCTAGATCTAGAATCTACGGCTGGCTTAAGTCTAGTTTTTTCGTAGTTCTAGTCTAGATCTAGATACATTCATTGCATTCTCGAGCTATACGATCTGTGATATTTACGGACTAAAATACTTAGATAAAGAGTTTCAATTATTGAATGTGTTTTTATCGTGTATTACTTATAGTCATTAGGTTTTCATTTTAACTCATTATTTTTGGTTTGGCCTTAAAGTTTGTTTTTCTGTATGTTGCCATTTTTCCTATAAGTTTCAAAGGACGTCAGTTTAATTAAGTCCCTGTATTTTACTGTAAAACTAGTTTTGGTTTGGCTTTAACATCAAGTGACGTCACTAAGTCGGTGAAAGTTTTTAAGTTTTTAAGAAAGCAATGTGTTTGTTCTGAAGTTTTATAATTAAAGATGTGGTATTTCTATCAATCAATATTTCAATAAATTAATTAACGTCTTTAAATAAATTTGTGATTAACAGTTTGGTATAAAAAAGAAAATTATTCGCTACCTAAATACGTATTTCACAGCTCTACACATAGTGCAGATTCTCTCATGTAACCAAACAGACAAACAAAAAAAATAAATATACAAACTTGTAAACAAACTTGAGTTTAAGTAGTATATATATATCTATATATATATATATATATATATATATATATATATATATATATATATATATATATATATATATATATATATATACATATATATATATATATACATATATATATATATATATACATATATATATATATATATATATATATATATATATATATATATATATATATATATATATATATATATATATATATATATATATATATATATATATATATATATATATATATATATATATATATATATATATATATATATATATATATATATATATATATATATATATATATATATGCCTATTTATATATAATAATATGCATATATAAGACATTCCAGGTCTACGTGTCTTCGAAGACGTCATCATCGTTATGACGTAGCCTGTACTCAGCCAGTACGTAGAACATGATGGCGACCACCAGTAGCGTCATCAGCAGGTAGAGCTTGGCCGACACACACATCCAGGTGCCCGAGCCGAACATGATGGCCAGCCCCACGCTCTGGACCAGGCGGTAGTTGGTGAAGGCCACCTCAGGAGCCTCGGTGCACGTCAGGCAGATCAGAGCTGGGGGGGGGGGAGTGGTGGGTTAGATGAGGGTGGAAGATATTGGTCGGTCGTAGTGATTAGCTATGTTTTGTTCTATAAGTCTTTAGCTACTGTCCTGCAGTTTGCTTTAGTCTTTAGCTAAGGTTCTGCAGTTTACTTAGAAGGTCTTTAGCTAATGTTCGGCTGTTTGCTTCGAAGGTCTTTAGCTACTGTTTTGCAGTTTGCTTAGAGGGTATTTAGCTAATGTGCTGTTTGTTTAGATCGTTAGCTGTTGAGCTGTTTTTTAAAGTCTTTAGCTCCAATTACGATGTTTGTTTTAGTCTTTGCATAGTAGCAGATGTTTGAACTTTCGTATAACACACACACACACTGTGCGTTTAATGAATATTTATTTTTCATTAAAATATTCATTGGGGGGGGGGGGGGGTGGGGGTGGGGGTGGGCTTTTAATAACTCTAATACAACAGTTGATGAGTAGATCTCTTCTAATGAATGAACTCCTTTAGTCGTTTCTTACTATATATACTATATATCAAGCTAAGTCTCTATCTACTTACTATAACCAGTTCAGTAGGTCTCTACTTACTATTATAAGTTAAGTAGGTTTATACTTACTATAACAAGTTCAGTAGGTCTATACTTACTATAACCAGTTCAGTAGGTCTCTACTGACTATCACTAGGTCAGTAGGTCTTTACTTACTATTACACTGTGTCTGCCACACCGAATCACAGACTCCCCATGCCGCAGATAACACAAAGAACAACATTGGCGAGATCTCAGGTATCCAGATCAAATATCTGACCAAACGAAAAAATATATATATTTATATTATATATCTTGTTTAAAAAATAAAAATAGAATAAATATCAAGGTTAGATTTAATTAAGTAATCTTGTCTTTTCAGCATTGTGGAAGCTACATTAGTGCAATATACAAGGTTTCTTTCAGACTTCCGTCGGTATTTAATGCGAGAAAATGGCTGCCATTAGTTAAGTATTTTCTATATATATATAATATATTTTTAATTTGTCGAATGGTGAGTAGAGGGGGGCGGTGACATTCTCGGAGATAATTGAGGGGAGGGGGGGACCAGTACCCCACCCCAACCCCCTCATCGGAGAGACACTTGAAAAAATCACTGATAATAAGTGTCATTAGTCTAAGGGGCATCACTCCCTCTGCTCTTCCCGACAAAGCTACTGATACAATTTAGCAGCAAATACGAAGTAGTCGCGCATTGATTATAATGACATCCCGTCCCCCTACCTATTAAAATACCAAAAATCAATTAAACCTCATTGTTATAAAAATATCTTTTCAAAATATTACAACGAGACCTCCCTTTACAACATTTCTTATCTAAAAATATCTCCCCAAAAAATTACAACGTGACCTCCCTTTACAAAATTTCTTATCTAAAAATATCTCCCAAAAAATTACAACGAGACCTCCCTGTTCTAAAAATATCTTACCCAATCATGAGTGCGATGTGAACGACACCACCGAAGCCAAGGACGACCTCCCTCGGTATTTTATGCGAGAAGATGGCAACAAAGATGGCGCCGAGCACGGTAGACGCCCCAAGGGTGATCATGCAGTAACCGACGTAGTGAACTCCCAGCATACAGGTCACGAAATACTGGAGAAAAACAAATATTTTTTTACTGCTTAACACTGTGGTATAAAAAAAAAATTTTCGTTTTGTTTTCTTTCCAACATGTCATTAATTCGTTAATTGTAAACCACCCTTGGGGTCATCCATAAATGACGTCACGCTTTTTTGGACGATTTTTACCTCCCCCCCTCCCCTCCGTCACACGTCGTCACAAAAAGTCAGCCCCCCCCCCCTAAAATGACGTCACACCTCAACCTACAACCCCCCCTCAAAATCGCAGTTGAATTTTTTTTAAACATCGATATTTTTCCAAAATCTTGTCTAAACTATTACAATTTATTAAAACAGTTATCTAAAACGCGAAATAACGTCTAAAATTCGTTTTCTAACATTGCTTTTTTATAATGCAAAAATGTGACGTCGCAACATCTGACCCCCCCCCCCCTCCCCCTCATCACACATCGTCACAAAATTACGGACCCCCCCTCCCCCCTACGAGTGTGACGTCATTTATGGATGACCCCCTTGCCCCTGTCGCACATACAGTCCACCCTACGATGGTGAAAACTTAATCATAGACTTTATTCGGGGGGGGGGGGGGGGGGAGAAACTCTGGAAGTATTCGATTAATTATCAAAAGCTACCTCTAATACACACAACTGGTTGGATCTAAATAAACTCTAGCCCCACCCCTCCCCAACATTAACCTTCCAGATGACAGCTATACGTGTTACAATGAATATGTGTTGCATTGGATTATAGAAAAGCTCTACCTTCCCACCCCCCCCCCCCCCTCACACACACACTACTCCATTCGAATCTGATTAAAATGTGGACACGTGAAGGCCGCTACATGCCATTGGGCACACGCACACACTAACCAGACTCTATCCCAACCCTCTCCCCCCCCCCCACACAACCCTCACCCCCACACAACCCACACAAACCTGGTTATAATCTGAATACATGAAGGCCTGCTGCATCCCATTAAACAACAGTAGAGGTCCCCCCACACAACCCTCACCCCCACACAACCCTCACCCCCACACAACCCCCCACAACCCTCACCCCCACACAACCCTCCCCCACACAACCCCACACAACCCACACAACCCACACAAACCTGGTTATAATCTGAATACATGAAATCTTGCTGCATCTCATTAAACAACAGTAGAGGTAACTCCCCCCCCCCCCTCCCCCACACAACCCTCACCTCCACACAACCCACACACAAACCTGATTATAATCTGAATACATGAAGCCCTGCTGCATCCCATTAAACAAGAGTAGAGGTATCAACAGGCGCAGTGTTCTATGTTGGACAAGTTGACTCAAGTGCTGGAAGATGATCTGAAACAGAGGGTTGGCACATGGTTGGTAGAGGGTTGGCACATGGTTGGTAGAGGGTTGGCACATGGTTGGTATAGGGTTGGTAGAGGGTTGGTGGATGGTTGGTAGAGGGTTGGTGGATGGTTGGTAGAGGGTTGGTACATGGTTGGTATAGGGTTGGTAGAGGGTTGGTGGATGGTTGGTAGAGGGTTGGTATATGGTTGGAAGAGGATTGGTAGATAGTTGGTAGAGGGTTGGTACATGGTTGGTAGAGGGTTGGTACATAGTGGTAGAGGGTTGGTACATAGTTGGTAGAGGGTTGGTACATAGTTGGTAGAGGGTTGGTACATGGTTGGTAGAGGGTTGGTACACGGTTGGTAGAGGGTTGGTACATGGTTGGTAGAGGGTTGGTACATGGTTGGTAGAGGGTTGGTACACGGTTGCTAGAGGTTTGGTACACGGTTGGTAGAGGTTTGGTACATGGTTGGTATATGGTTGGTAGAGGGTTGGTAGATAGTTGGTAGAGGGTCGGTAGAGGGTTGGTACATGGTTGGTAGAGGGTTGGTACATGGTTGGTAGAGGGTTGGTACACGGTTGCTAGAGGTTTGGTACACGGTTGGTAGAGGTTTGGTACATTGTTGGTATATGGTTGGTAGAGGGTTGGTAGATAGTTGGTAGAGGGTCGGTAGAGGGTTGGTATATGGTTGGTATATGGTTGGTAGAGGATTGGTACATAGTTGGTAGAGGGTTGGCACATGGTTGGTAGAGGGTTGGTAGATAGTTGGTATATGGTTGGTAGAGGGTTGGCGGATGGTTGGTACATGGTTGGTAGAGGGTTGGTATATGGTTGGTAGATGGTTGGTACATGGTTGGTAGAGGGTCGGTAGAGGGTTGGTAGAGGGTTGGTACATAGTTGGCAGAGGGTTGGTACATAGTTGGTAGAGGGTTGGTACCTAGTTGGTAGAGGGTTGGTACATGGTTGGTAGAGGGTTGGTACATGGTTGGTAGATGATAAGTTGTTGGTAGAGAGTTGGTACATGGTTAGTTGATGGTAAATGGTTGGTGGATGGTTGGTAGATGAATGGTTGATGGTTGGCTTAAGTTGACAGTCTCAACATTTTTAACATGTTTGGTTTAAAATGGTTGGCTCAAGATCGGTGGCTTCAGATAGTCGGATTAACATGGTTGTCTCAGGAAAGTTGATTTAGCATAATCGACTGGTAGTTTAACATGGTTGGTAGATAGTTGGTTTAACAGGATTGGTTCAACCACTTATATGTTCCTCACAAGATAAAACAAACTTTACTTAATTATCTACAGTTGACATCAGGGTTTAAGCATTTAAGATTCAAATTGTACTGCATTTAAAACTAACTTTTAAATAATTGAATAAAATTCAACTTTGAAAAAGCTGTAACGTGTTGTCCAGTTTTAGCATCTCTCTAAGCTTATGCTTAAAACCGAAACCAAAAAAAAATAATAGAAATGTAAAAAATCGGGAAAAAAATGTCTATTTTTAGAAAAACAAATTCCTATTTACGGACTGGGTGTTGGTGAAAATTTGGCTTGGTTTCCGTCTAGTTCATGATTGATTTTACATAAGTTTCCCGCATTTCGTCCTCAGTGCTTTGGGCGGTCAGACCTAAGCTCAAAGTGATGACATTGAGATCTCCACTGGTCAGCTGGTGCCGGTGATGTGGCTCTACTTGGTGCCATTTTGAGAGTGGGGGTGGGAGGGTGGGTGGGTGGGGGTGGCGTGATGTAAAAAGGTGGGGGGGGGGGGAAGTAGTCTGCTGTCAAGTTCATTTGTTGTTGTTATTTTTTTCCGTTAAATGGTTCTGGCCGGTTGTTGGTCAATCGATTGGTTGTCGGCAAGGATATCAGTTGTTGGTTGTGTTATTGACTAAAGGGGTCGTCCATAAACGACGTCACACTTCTGGGGTAAAGGGAAGGGTTCGGCAATTTGTGAAGAGAATCAGAGAGATGAAGACGACATGCTTTTGCATTTTAAAAAAGTAGTGTTATTTTAAATTTAAAAAAAAGTCTTGTTATGTAAATTGGAATAGAAATTGAATACTATATTTAACGCTGACCGAGCTGAGGTAATATTCGAGATGTTTTAAAAAACAGCAAAAACTGCAGATTTGAGAGGGGTTTGTAGGCTAAGGCGTGACGTCATTTTAGGGGTGGTGGTGGGGGAGGGGCTGGTATTTTTATGACGATGTATGATGATGGGTAGGGGGAGGTAAAAATCGTCAAAAATTCATTAATATATGACCCCTAAAGATGTGTTTTGGTTAGAGTTAGTGATAGTTCCTAGGTTAGGTGATGGTTTTGGTTTAGTATTTCAATTATGTTGTTTTTTATGTTTAAAGTTCAGTGTTATATTAATAGTTTAGGGTTAGGTTAATGATTTGTATTGGTGTATTTGGCGAGTAAGGATTAATGACTTAAGTCTCTTAGCGGAAAAAAAAATTACTTCATTATTTTGGCTAATCTTTCATTTTCAAAAAATGATAAAAAACGTTTATGATCTCTCTGTGAATAAGTTGTAGATAAGTTGACAACAAGCGTGCTTTAATGGCCGATGTTTATAATTTACCATAAATTGTTAACATACCTGCTTAGGTGACCAATTATTTAATTAACCTTAAACTTGTCAACAAACCTGCTTAGGTAATCAATTATTTAATTAACCTTAAACTTGTTAACACACCTGCTTAGGCGACCAATTATTTAATTAACCGTAAACTTGTTCACACACCTGCTTAGGTCACCAATTATTTAATTAACCTTAAACTTGTAAACAAACCTGCTTAGGTCACCAATTAATTAATTAACCTTAAACTTGTTAACACACCTGCTAAGGTCACCAATTATTTAATTAACCTTAAACTTGTAAACAAACCTGCTTAGGTCACCAATTAATTAATTAACCTTAAACTTGTTAACACGCCTGTTTAGGTCACCAATTATTTAATTAACCTTAAACTTGTTAACACACCTGCTTAGGTCACCAATTATTTAATTAACCTTAAACTTGTTCACAAACCTGCTTAGGCGACCTCTCTGGGTCCGCCCGAGCCCCTATCCTGTCGAGCAGAAGTAGAATGAGAAAAAACGAGACCCCGCCTAAAATAATGTATGACGTCATGAGCTTCCATAGCACTGGACTGAGTATTTTGGGATCTGATGAAGAAAACGAAAGTAAAAAAAAAAATTGTTATTGGGTAATGAAAAATTAATAACGAAGTGGGTTTTTTTTTATTTTAGGCAGAGATGAAGTCGTAGCAGTTGTGAGTCGATACTTGAAGGTCAGTACACGAAGGTTAATGCCTCAAGGTCACCACCTGTAAGTTAACACTGGAAGGTCACCAATTGAGGGCTAATGTGTAATAGTAAGTATCTGAAAGTGATCACATTAAGACCAGAATCTGAAGGTAAAAATCTAAAGGTTAACATTTGAAGGTCAAAGCATGAAGGTTAACAATTGAAGGTCAAAGTATGAAAGTCAGGACATGAAGTTCAAAACATGATAGGTCATATCGCGAAGGTCAAAGCACAAAGGTCGAAATATAAAGGTCAAAACATGAAGGTCAAAACGTGAAGGTCATCATTTGAAGGTCGAAACCTGAATGTCAAATACATAAACATCAACAGCAGACCGCGCGAGACCAGACGATCGTCTGTAATCTCATGACAACTTTGCGATCTACATAAACCAACAGTAACCGTTCTAGATTGGAATTTTCTTGTAGTTTTTTTGTAAGAGTTCTTCTGTATGGTACCTACAGCTGAAAGATGCCTGCCTCTACAACAGTGTTTCTTCCAGATTTTCTTCTCCGTGGGTGCACCTGAAATTTTCGGGGGGGGGGGGGGAGGGGGGACCGGACTAAAATTTCCTGGGGTGGAGGGGGTGTTAAAAGTATATATTTTCTATATAAATTCCATTTCGTTCGAGGGGGGGGGGGCGAAGAGATGCCAGGATGAAACTCTGCTCTACATAAAGGTAGCTGTACGTATTACACACATAAAATGTAACTTGAGTTTTAGATGATTTTGCCTAGATGCACTCTTTTAAAATAGAACATGTAGACACCTAAGACAGCGAGCAATGTATGCAGACTGTATTAAAATAACTCGTTACATGATATCTATGATAGTACTGGCTAAGAAATGTGTGCATAATATCATACCAAGACAATAGGCCGTAGGGGAATAAGGCTTAGATACGCACATTCGAAAAATAATTGTAGATTATGTATGGCACATCTTTTTCTTATTCCTCCCCCCCCCCCCCACCCCCACCCCAACCCACCAAAAAGAAAAGGCGGATGGGAACGAGGCTTAGTTACGCACATTTGAAAAATAATTGTAGTTTATGTATGGGACATCTTTTTCTTATTCCTCCCAACCCCCCCCCCCACCCCAACCCACAAAACTCGAACTTAAGCTAACATTGTTGAGAAGTTATAAATAAAACACCTATAAACAGAACTGAATAGAGAAAGTTATAATATTATCAAACAATTACACGGTACAAAATTAAAATATTTGAGTTAGAAAATTGGAGTTGTTTGGATTAAAAAATTATGGGTATCTTGCTAAGGAATCGAAGTAGAATTAACCAACCTTTTTGCGGGATGCACAGCTATTGAAGCTTCGACACTGTATCTTTATCAGGTGAAGCCTTATAATAATGCATACCAATTGTGTTTCTTCGTCGTTATGAATTTTAAATGTCAATCTAAAGCGTAAGGAAGTTCGGGAAACTCATTCCATTAGTCTTGACTGTAAGACAAACCGCACACTCATCCACTCAGAGACTTGCATGTACAAGTATATACGCATATGCAAATTGAAGACAGTTTTTGGGTCATAATAGGCGATAAGTCAGGTGAAGTAGAGTTAACATGTTTCTATGACCTCGAGATTTGAAGGGAAAGAGTGATCAGTTCTATATTTGGCCGATTTTTCTTTCCCTGTGTACCGATTAGAGCTGGGTGGACACAGGTACGTTCCTACATACTCGAGACCGGAACTGAAACCTGCCATCTCCGTGTGAGTAGTCTACCGCTCGCTCACAGACACACTCACACGCATGCATATCCACACGCACGCAAGCACATACATACACGCAAGC